TCTATCTATCTATCTATCTATCTATCTATCTATCTATCTATCTATCTATCTATCTATCTATCCCTCCCTCCCTCCCTCCCTCCCTCCAGCCATCCATCCATCCATCCATCCATCCATCCATCCATCCATCCATCCATCCATCTATCTATCTATCTATCTATCTATCTACAAGCTGTATACTCACTACTGTGCATTGTGGCCAAGTGTCATTTCTTTGGTGTTATCTCATAAAAAGACCTCCTTAAACACTGAAGATCCATTCCAAAAGTAAACTAAAGGAGATTTAATCTTCTCCACCTTCCCTCCCGCTCATCACTGATGATTCGGGAAAGAAATGTAATTTTTGGAGGCCGTAGCAGGCAAGCAAATCGCTTTCATAAACGGGCTGGCCTGTTTTTCAAAACTGAAAAAAAAAAACGATTGAACTCCAGGGTGGATTTTTATAAAGGAGAACCAGTCCTTTCAAAACCAGGAGAAAGGAAAGTGAGACACACCAGCGCACCAACCGAGTTGAAGGGAAGGGAGGTGACAGCAGGAATAAATTATATGTACAGTAGCCGGAGGAAGAGACAAAAGATGATTAACAGCTTCTATTTTTAAGCAGGAAAGAGACAAGGGTGAAAGGGAGCAGGGCAGGAGGAATCTAAAACCTCCAAATGGTGCTGCTTTTATAGCCTTTCTCTCTGAAAACCCTGAAAAAGCTCCCTCCTTCTCCAAAAGACAGGCCGTCCTCGACTTACGACGGCAACGGAGCCCGACGTGGAGGTTGCTCAGGGATAAATTCAGTGGTTTCGGCCCGTTTTACGACTTTTCCCGCCACCTTCGTTAAGCGAATCGCCGCCGTTCTTAAATTGGTTGCACGGTCGTTAAGCGAACCTGGTTTCCTCCCCCGCCCTTGACTTTGTCTGTTGGAAGGTCGCAAAAAGGGAATTGTGTGAGTCCCGGAGCCTGCTGCGACCGTCATAGACATGAGTCAGAGGGTCAAGCATCCAAATGCTTTAACCATGTGACCCCCTGGGATGGGGGGGGGGGAAAGGGTAATAAGTCACTTTTTTCAGTGCTGTTGTAAGTTTGAATGGTCACTTAAACTACAGACTACCTGTCTCTTTCACCTCTTCCTCTTTCTTTTCTCTTTTTCTTTTCTTCTCTCTCTCCTCTCTTCTCATTCCCCCTCTCCTCTCCCCTTCTCTTCTTTCCTTTCTCTTTTCCTTTCTTTTTCTCTCTCCTCTCTCCTTTCCCTCTCTCTTTCTCCTCTTTCCCCTTCTCTCCCCTTCTTTCTCTCTCATTCTTTCTTCTTTCCTTCTCTTTCTTCTTCCTTTCCTTCTTTTTCTCTTTCTCTCCTTTCTTTCCCTCTCTTTCTCTCGTTCTTTTCCTTTTCTCTCTCCTCTTTCTCTTTTCCTTTCCTCTTTCTTTCTCCTTCTCTCTCCTTTCCCTTTCTCTCTTCTTTCCTTCTCTTTCTTCTTCCTTTCCTTCTTTTTGTCTCTTTCTCTCCTTTCATTCTTTCTCTCTTTCTCTCATTCTTTTCCTCTTTCCTTTTCTCTCCTTCTCTTTCTCTGTTCTTTCTTTTCCTTTCCTCTTTCTTTCTTCTTCTCTCTGTCCTTTCCCTCTCTTTCTCTCTCCTTTCCTTCTCTCCTCTTTCCCTCTCTTTCTCCCTCCCCCTTCTCTTCTCTCTCTCCCTCTCTCTCCTTTCCTTCTATCTCTTTCTCTCTCCTCTTTCCTTCTCTCTCCTCCTCCAAATTGGGAAGCAAAAACCAAACCACATCCGCAAACTGCAAGTTTTGACTTGCAAGAGCAGGAGGAAAAAACCCAGAGCTTGGGCAAAACCAAAAGAATAACCGGCATGGATTTTCCAGGAACCTGCTAACAAAGGCACAAAATATTACTCCTACTCCTACTCCTACTCCTAATAATAATAATAACAACAACAACATCAGTCAAATGCAAAAAGCCGCACTGCTTGGATCTGCACGCATATTATGAAAATACGTTACGACGTCCTAGGCCCCTGGGTGGGGCCCGACTAGTAACCAATGCCAAATCCGGCGAAACAACTGGCCGCTGTGATACAATTGTATAATAATAATAGTCGGTGGGGCCCAACTAGTAACCAATGCCAAATCCGGCGAAACAACTGGCCGCTGTGATACAAT